CCCGCAGCCCGCCGCCCGCCTCAGACTATCCCCTCCCATCCACTTCAGTAGCTCCTACCCCTGTCCTTCCCGCTCTCACCGGGATCAGGCCCCGTCGCCGCTGCATCCTCCTCCGCTTCCTCACCCAGCCTCCTCCTCCTCCTTCTCCGTCCCGGCTGCTGCTTCCTCCTGCGGCCCGGCTGCTGCTGCTGCCAGAGCGGCCCGGCCCCAGCGGCGGGGACACGGATCCAGCTGCCTGAGCGGCGCCGGCAACGACGGCGGCACAGCGGGCAGGCGAGGCTCAGGCCTATCCCGGCCTCGGGCACCGTGCGGCTCAGGCAGCCCCGACACAAACCTCTGTCACCGGTTTGGGGCTGAACCTGGAGCCGGGCCCCAGGCCGCTCTCTCCGGGTCCGCTCCCCACTCCCGCTCCGGGCCGCCATCTTGTGATGTCGGAGGCCCGCCCCCGCCGCGAGCGCGCGCGCACACACGGAGCCGGCCGCGGGGCCGCGCGTTGGGACCGCGCATGGAATCGACGATGGCCAGTGGTGCCTAGCGACTCGCTGCAACCTAACCCCTCACCTTTAATGAGAGCCTTCTTCTCTCACCTAACGCTAACTAGCTTAATCCAAACCAGTTAACCATCAAACTAATTAACTAATGTGGGAAAAAAGAAGTAAAACAAAACTGCGATGAGTTGATGCCAAGTTTGGCCTTTCGAGGACTAGAAGATTGTCAGTGGATGGAAAATTTGATGGAGCTCAGGGGTCACAGAACTTTATTTTACTTATTGACAGGATGTGGGCCCCATCTCTAATTGACAGGAGACGAATGAGGGAGGGGGTTAATCTCATAGAGACTTATAAAATTTTACCAGGACTGGACAGGTAGATGCAGGGGGGATGTTCCCGATGGTGGGTGTGCCCAGAACCAGGGGACTGGGGAACCAGCCTGAGGATTCGGGGTAGACCATTTAGGACAGAGATGAGGAGACATTTCTTCACCCAAAGAGTGGTGAGCCTGTGGAACTCATTACCACAGGAAGTAGTTGATGTCAAAACATTGAATGTATTCAAGAGGCAACTAGATATAGCACTTGGAGCAAATGGGATCAAAAAGTATGGAGAGAAAGCAGAATTAGGCTATCAAGTTGGACGATCAGCCATGATTGTGAAAAATGGTGGAGCAGGCTTGAAGGGCTGAATGGCTTCCTCTTGCTCCTGTCTTCTATGTTTCTATGAAAAGAGGGTGGTGACTTTTCTATTGGAATCCCTGCAGCCCATGTGCCATAGGGAAACCCACAACACTTTTGGGAGGGAATTCCAGGATTTTGACCCAGTGACAGCAAGGAATGGTGATATATTTCCACATCAGGACAATGTTTGGCATGGATGGGAATTTGCAGGTAGTGATGTTCCAATGCATCTCTTGCATTTTTCCTTCTATGTGAAAGTGGATTTAGCAGGTGCTATCCATGGCGAATTTCTGCAATGCATTTTATGGATGGTACACAGAGAGGCAGCACAGTGGCTCAGTGGTTAGCACTGCTTCCTCACAGTGCCACGGATCCGGGTTTGATTTCACCCACGGGTGACCGTCTGTGCGGAGTTTGCACATTCTCACTGTGTCCACGTGGGTTTCCTGTGGGTGCTCCAATTTCCTCCCGCAGTCCAGAGAAGTGCAGGTTAGGATGATTGGCTGTGCTAAATTACACATAGTGTCCAAGGATGTGCAGGCTAGGTGGATTAACAATGGGAAATGCAGGGTTACAGGAATAAGGTGGCGGGAATGCGGGT